ATACTTAACATCCCTGGAGAGAAGGCAGATTCAACAACTCTCTCCTGGGACTCCCCCTCGCCCACTGTTCCTCTCAGCAGTGACACTGACTGTCACCTGCTAGCTGCACTAAGTGGAGTAAGCATCAGGTGGGAGAACTCTGATCTCGCTGATTTCAGTGCCTGCAGGGTAACCTATAAACATCTTACTAGCTTCTACACAGACAAGGGCTTATTGCAGTGTTGGGACTGCCGACTCTCTTCGTTCATCGTTTGTAGCTACACACAGAATACTACAATGCCGAGGTTTACAGACAGGCCCTACCTGGTCTTTACCAAAGACAGACCCATTTCCAATACTGTACAACAGTGAGTACGCAATCTGACCAGCTGCTCCAGTCACGAGGACTCTGATTGGCTCCGACTGCAACGAGAAAGACCCAGTCACAGCTTATTAAAGTGTTAATAAGGCAACACGTGCTTTAAGAGCAAGTATGAGGTTGTCAAGTCTTCTCCTGACTAGCTGAGTAGGAGCTAACTTACAGGCTTGTTTTCAGCAAAGGCAGCACGTACAAATGAACCATGCACTTACCAAGTGTGTCCTTCGCTGGCACACTTGGGAAAAGCACTGAGTTGGATTACTTATTACTTATGCAACTGTGTCCATCTTTGGGGGACATTTTGCCAAAAACTAGGCCCACAATGTCACATCCATATTATGAGGTGATTCAAACCCTTGCAGGTCAGAGGAGCCTTACCTCTTTATCATACAAATTCCGACTCGCACCTCATCAGAATCCTGCACAGTAGAAGGTGTAGCACCGACAAAAACTTTCCCTTTAAACCAAAAAGGTTTAATAAAACAATCCTGTTTTGACTTAATTAACCAAAGATCAAAAACAAGCCTGTACTTATTTAGAGGTAGGGTCTCCCTCTGTAGATCCGGCTGGCCTCAAACTTACAGAGACATCAAAGGAGTGTACCACTATGCTCAGTGGTAAGCCTTTATTTTAAAAACTATATTTATTTAAAGTATATGGGGTGGTGTACACATGACACAGCACTGGAGGGGTTGGTTTGTTCCTTCCGTTTTGTGGGTCCTGGGGGTTGAACTCAGGTCGTCAGACTTGGCAGCAAGTTCCCTTTACCCGCTGAGCCACCTTGCTGGTCCAAACCTTTAATTTTCTTTTCAAGGAGAAAATTATTAGTATCTGGCATATAATAAATTTTAGTATTAAATATTGTACTAAATCACGACAGCATAGCTGACAATCTGGTTCAAAGGGAAAAGTATGCTTTAAAAGAAGGAAGAGAAACCATAAAAAAAGCACCACAGTTATATAATAGAAAAAAAGTGCAGTCTCCAGGCTAAGAGACTCTGAAGAAAATAAGACACAGACTAAAATAACAGCTGAGTCATGGAAAAAGGCTTAGTGAATTTATAGAATGGAACCAAGATAAGCTCTTCCCTTCCTTGACAATGCTGAGCTGTACTGGTGCCCCGTGTTACCCTGGTCCTTCCTCGCATGAAGAAATGACCTACTAAACATTTGATTTCTCTATTTAGAGCAGCCTCTTCTAGGTGAGCTATCTGCCTGAGATGGAAAGCTGGGCGCCTGAAATCAGCAGCAAGCAGGAACTTGGGCCCCACAGATACAAATAAATAAATAAATAATAATAAAAAGAAAAGAAATTGAGGAAATAAGTATTAATTGTTATAAAGAAATAAATTTGATCATAGTAGATTTTACTTGCATTTCTTCTTCAAAAAACATGCCCAGGATAGGAGTAGAAAAATATAACCAAAGATAAAACCCCAGAAAGCTATGGAGAAAAATTCTTCTTGATCCCTGGATCTCTCCCCTGTTTTTTCCATATCTCTAGATATATTAAATTTAATATCCACATAAGCCAATTTTAATAAAAATACGCATCTATAATAGTATATACTTAATAAGACATGTATCTATGTCCAAAACAAACTATTTGTATGACTAGCACACATTATCCTATATGGTTACTTTCTGCTATACACAGATCTACAACAGCTGTGTTTTGAGATATCATGATTAGGAACCATTACTATTTTATATATATATATATATATATATATTATATATATGTATTTCATCTAGTTATCTTTCCCTTTGAAGTTGAGAAATGAGAAGGGAGAGGCTGCTTCCCTCTTCTGGGGGCTCTGGCATTTCATCCTCCTATCGTCTGAATTCGAGTCACTGCTACATCTCAGCTGACAGAGAAGAACAGGTGCAAGCTGGGTAAGAAATGAGGGGGGGCCAGAAGGTGGCTGTGCACACCTTTCATCCCAGCACTAGGGACGAGGCCATCCTAGTCTACAGAGAGAGTTCTAGAATAGCCAAGGTTACACAGAGAAACCACCTTGAGAAAGAAAAAGAAGAAAACCACCCCCAAAACAAAACAAACAAATAAACAAACAGAAATGAGAAAGTGCCAACCACATCTATAAAGTTTAACCTTCCAGAAAGTCTAGTTAGAACAGAGTGATGTAGCCATTTATCAACAAGGTGTTCCCAGTATCGCAGTCTGCAGTGAAGAGGTGGTGGCCACCTAACCAACAGCTGATTCTACCTCTGCAGGCTCCTTCTGTGTCTGGGCACTGGCCTCTTAAGGGCTCCCTTCGTATCTGCCTGACGGTGATGAAATACGTAAGGGAAACACCAGCTTGGTTCTCTCTGCTCCCCCGAGACACTGCAGTTGGAAAGCAGGAGGGTAGGAGAGTCCCGCTGACTTCCCACAATGCAACAGTGCCCATGTAGGTTACTATTCTCTGCTCAGCTATCTGGGCATTTTGCCCAGATCCAGAAAGGAACGGCTTCTCTTTTGGCAGGGCATTAATGACCTTCCTGGGGATACAGGCTGTCTTAAAAATGTGCTACTTGATTGAAAAGCTTGAATCTTAGTAACAGCATCCCTCTCTTTACTTTCTAGCTTACAGGTATTATTGCAATACGAAAGAGAAGAAGCGGTGTCACTTAGAGTCCTCCAAGTGAATTCTTAGGTCACTCCCTTCTGGACAATGGCAAAGAGTTCCTCTAAAAATGCTTTTGATTGGCTTACAACAAAGACAGCTCTTTTCCTTCAGGGTCTCCTTCCACAGCCCTGGCTGGCTGGAACTTGGTACACAGGGTAGGCTGGTTTTGAAATCCTAAGAGTTCCATGTGTCTCTCCCTCCCAAGAGCTGCGACTGAAGGAATGCACCACCACCCTGAGTGGAGCTCACCGCTTTTTTCTAAGTCAGTTATTTTCCCACGTACTCTTCCCAGGAGGCAAGTAGGTTCTGAATCATGTGCGATTGCAACATGACAGACCTCTTCTTCCTGGACTGTCTCATGTCACCTGGCGCAGACGTGACCTTCTAGGGGTTCTGTCGACTATATAGGGAGTGCAACACTATAAATAATCAGGGACCCTGAATCTCCATGACCTTGGGAAATCAATGACCTTGCCAGGTTGTTTTAAGAGCAGACTTGCCAAATGCATACTACAGTCAAGGTAAAATGGGAAGAATAAGAGATACTGGGTGCAAATCTTGTGACCTTGAGAACTCACATTCTGGTCTCAAAAACTAAATTTTAGTATTTTAAGTCGGATCTTGGCTGTGATGACTTTTTAAAAGGTTTTCATCTCGACCTAAAATTCTAACGTCTGAAGTTCTTGGATAACTACCCCCGTTTTATGACTAAAACCACTATAGCAGAAACCGCTTAGGCCATAATTTAAATTACTACTCATGTGCCCAAAACAACTAGGCAACAGTTACTGGGAATTAGCAGTTGTCCCCTTGGGGTCTCATAGAGGCTGGGCCCTTTTGTCCTTGCTTTGAAACATGTCTTTCTGGATTCTGCGAAATTTACAGTTCTTCCAAATATTTTCTCACACTCCTCATCTTGAGATTACAGGAGAAAAAGTATCTTCAAAATATAAACTCTAAAGTACTGTAGCAATTTCCACTCTGGTGATAAATGTCACCTTCAAACAGCACGCAGACTATTCCTACGTCAGAGTCTCTTCACACCCCCCCACCCCCTTCAGGCGGGACAAGACAGGAAGATCCAGCCATATAGAGCTTCAACAAGATGGTTGCGTTACATCGGCAAGAAGGTATTCTGCAACTCATGACAGAATAGTAAAAAATATCCACCCAATTGTTTCTAAAGAGTCCTAGCATTACAAAAGAGGATCAAGAATAGGTTTTCTGTAACATTTTTTCCTTTGAAATTAGATATGGCAAATACATGTCTCCTGAAAACTGGGATCATAACCTGGAGCACTACTTAACCTCAACATCACAGGCCTACTCCTTCCAAGAGCAAATTAGAGGTTAGGACCCAATTCTTTCCCTCCATCCAAATCTCATCCCCGTCAAATCCTTTAACGTCCTTCAGAGAAAATCTTGTCCCTCAGCCGTGCGTCAGGAGTGAGACGCCTCTCTCCAAGGACAGCGACTTCTCTAGAGTCCTTTTAAGAGACCCTAAATGGAAGCGAACCCCTTTCCAATTACTGGGTTACTGCGACAGTCCGGAGGATGAGTCGGGTTTTGCAAACGGTGCGAAAGACAGCGCCTGGCATTAGGGCTTTTCTAAAGGGCGTCAAGGACAGGCTGCAACCGAGAGGCCGGAGCTGCTGCAGGATCCGGGAGCCCACACTCACCATTATTAAGAACTGCGACGACGATTTCTGCACCTGCAAAGCTGTCTCCAGGAGTCAGGTCACCTCTACAGCAGAACCGTTTCTGGGAGAGCGAGCTGTGCTGGCCAGGAAAGGTTCGGCTGGTTTGCCCCGCACTTTCTGGGAAGTGTAGTTCATCCGGAGGATCTCTGGCCCCCACCTCCGTGCACCCCTGCCAGTGAGAAACTACAATTCCCGAAAGCCTCTTCCTTCGACTAGCTTCGCGGATTGCAAAGTAGTCCCCGGGTTTGAGCCTCTGTGATTGGAGGACATCCGTGAGCGGAGGGTTTGCGCTGAGGTTGAAACGCCTGACTGATGGCGCTCAGCAATTGGCGGGAGGGGAGGCGTTAACTTGAGGGAGGAGAAACGAACCCTGAGCGACAGCACCCGTCGCCCCACCGAGACTCTATCCTCCCCCAAGGCTAAACAAGGGAGGCTAAGAGACCTTACGTTGCGTAAAGCCCGCTCGACCCGGAAACAAACCTTTTGAAAACCCATTCTCCCAGGGGCGGGAGGAATCGACGTGTCCGGAACCGCGGGCAGCTTCACCGTTGCTAGGCGACAAGGCAGGCGCACCTGAGCGCTCCCGCGACCAGAGCCCAGTGGAGTTGCATCCCTACCCTGGAGGCAGGTCAGCTTGGCCCCCGAGCGTTTTTCTTTTCTTCTTGGGTCCCGGGTCCCTTGTTAGTGTCGAGAGCATGTGGAGTTCAGGAGAGAGGAGTGTACTGCGGTTTGCACCGGTTTGACTTTTCCAAAGTAAAGTCAGAAAGATCTGTTTGTGGAATGAGCCCCTTATAGAAGTTTGTGGTACATGGATCTAACTTTCTTTGCCTTCCGTGAACATGGGCATTTTTCCTCGCTCTCTTTTTGGCAACTGGATGCGCTTTAAAACATCTTGATAAAGTTTATGCCAAACTCGTATTTTCAGGGAGGTTGGGAGACAGAGTGTTAGTGGCTGAAACCACTCAAGAGGCTTTCATTTAAAATGAAAGTTGCTAAGGGAACAGCTGTCTTCTCCATTTGCTTTGTGTGGATTTTCGGGAAGACGCGCAGCTTTGGAGCAGACCAATGAATATGGTATTGGTCTGACTTCAGGACTTTCTGTCACAAGTGAACGAATGCTGAGCGGCTTCAGGTTTGTTTTTTGGAAGATTTCCTACTTGGAGAAAGAAATACAATGCCATACGGTCTAGCTTCTTGAGACTGACTATTCGTGGCTCATTCGAATTAAGCTCTAAATGTTTGTATAAGGCGTCTCAAGTCATTGGGGGCCAAATCTAAACAGTCAGAGTCTGGTTGTTAAACTGGAAATTTCTCCTTTTAGTTTTAGCCCCCCCCCCTCCACTATGCTTAGCATACTTCAATAATTAGCACTTAAACAAACAAAATAATAATGATGTTTTAATTTTTTCCCAAGAGGGCCGGAGAGACAGTCAGTGTTTAAGAGGAGTTGCTGCACGGACAGATGATTTTAGTTCCTAGCGCCCACATAGAGGCTCACAAAATGTCTTAGTTAGGGTTTCTATTTCTGCAGCGAAACCTCATGACCAAAAGCAAGTGGGGGACGAAAAAGTTTGACTTATCCACACTGTAATCTCTCACTGAAGGGAAGTCGGGATAGGAACTGCAAACAGGGCCGGAACCTGGAGGGTATGAGCTGATGGAGAGACTGTGGAGGAGTGCTGTTTACTGGCTGGCTCCTTATGGCTTGTTCAACCTAATTTCTTATAGAACCCAGGACCCCCAGCCCAGGGATGGCCCCAGCCACAATAGGTTCTGTACTCTCCCATTGACTGTAGCATGAGTAATAAAAACCCAGAGGCAGATATTGGGGTTCAAGTTGAAATCAGGAAAGCAAAGCAACCAACCACTACAGAGACCTTTTACGTTTACCAAATCTTCATACCGAAAGGGTGAGATCCAGTCTCCACAAATCCTCAGACTCCACCCTCCAGTGAGTTCCCGTCTCTTCGCCTTTATTTTTCTCTTTCCGCTCATCCATGTCACTCCTGTCTCCACCTCCCCAGTGCTGGGATTAAAAGTGTGTGACTCCCAAACACTGGGATTAAAAGTGTGAACCACTATCACCTGGATCTGTTTCTGGTTCCATCTTGTGTGGCTCAGGGTAGCCTTGAATTTACAGAGATCCAACTGCCTCTTTCTCCTGAGTCCTGGGATTAAAGGTGTGTGCCACCACTCCCTGGCCTGTATGACTGACTAGTCTGGCTGCTTTGTCCTCTGATCTTCAGGCAAGCTTTATTTATTAAAACACAAATAATATACCACTATAATTGATCGCCAATTAAGAAAATGCCCTACAGGCTTGCCTACAGCCTGATGTCATGAAAAGGTTTTCTCAATTGAGAGTCCCTCCTAAGTTATGGTTGCAGCTAGTGTCAAGCTAACATAACAGAATCGAGTAATATTTAGGCTTCAATAGAATGTACCAGACTTGAGTGACTCCTTGAATCACTTTGTTTTTTGGTGCTTTTCTTTTGATCTTGAACGCTGATCTTTCTACATTGGAATGCTACATTTGTCTCTGTTGCAAGGAGAGGCAGCCCCTTGTTTGTCCTGACCGCCTGAAATAACCACACAGAAATTGTATTCATTAAAACACTAGTTGGCCCATTAGCTCTAGTTTCTTATTGGCTAATTCTTACATCGTAATTTAACCCATTTCTATTAATCTGGGTATCGCCACGTGCCAGTGGTTTACCAGCAAGATTCTAACCAGTGTCTGTCTCAGGCAGAAGATCCATGGTGTCTCTCAATCTGCCCTTCTTTCCCAGCCTTCAGTTTTGTCTTCTCTGCCTACCTAAGTTCTGCCCTATCAGGCCTAAAGCAGTTTCTTTATTCCTTAGCCAATGAAAGCAACACATGAACAGAAGAATCTCCTACACCATGTCTCTGTCCACACTTAGGTTATTCATAAGTTGTAGCTCGAAATGTTACCTCTTTGTTAGCGCCTCTCAAATTCCAGGGCATGTCTATGTACTTTCTGTTTCTACTTGGTTTTCTGATAAATATCAGTTCTGTTAGTTTTTAGTTTATGGTATCTCCTACTGAGTAACTATGTGGAAGCATCACACTCCAGACAGAAATAGCATGACTTGTCCCCAGTTTCTCTTGTTGGTTGAGATTGGAATTACAGGATTTCCAAGTGAAGAGTGAAGTGCTCTTTCATGAGGACTGTTCTAATAAATCTGCCATGGGAACTTAGGATAACGGTCTTGGGCTGAGCCACTTGCTTAGGCTCTAGGGATCAGAAAGGAGTAGGGTGCAGTAACTGCCTTTTAGGGATCACTGTAGCATGAAACATTAATTGCTGAAGGCAACACAGTGATCTGGTAATTGTTAAAAGGCTTATTCTGTACTTGGAGGGCTTTAGTAAGGGGGTGCTGTCCTACTCTGCAGCTAAGATGATGAGACACCTGCATCTGTAGTGCGGTGGTCTGCTGGGGAGTTTTCATCACTTTAACGCAAACTATATTCACCTGGGGAGAGACTCTGCTGAAAAGAATTGCTTCCAACAGATGGTCTGTGAACATCTTTCGGGCCATTTTTCTTGATTGATGATTGCCTTTTTTATGGTGAAAAGGTGTTTATTTAGAATTAGCCAACTGAACTCAGTTTAGATGACCCCAATTTTGTTGGCAACATCATAACCAGGACCACCTGAACAGCCGCCTTCTCTCCATCAGGCCTTACGGGGGTGTTGATTTTTGCCACATCAGTGTCACAGAATTTCTTCATGGCCCATTTGATCTGGTGCTTGTTGGCCTTGACATCCACAGCGAGCACAGTTGTGTTGTCTTATGTCTTCTTTAGGGCTGACCCAATCAGTGGCCAGGGGGAATTTAATGATGGCATAGGGGTCAAGCTTGTTTCTCCTGGATGTGCTCTTTCAAGGGTATTTGGGCTGCCTCTGGAGCTGCAGGATCTTGGGCTGCCAGAAGGTGGGTGATGTATGGATCTTGTGGCTGTGGACGCCTTTCTGCACTGCCTTCTTGGCTTTCAAGGCCTTTGCTTCGTCTTTGGGAGAGGCAGTAGCTTCCTTCACTTTCAGTGTCTTCTTGGCAATAAGGCGCTGATTGTCCTAGTCAGGGTTACTATTGCTGTGATGAAACTCCATGGTCAAAAGCAACTTGGGGAAGAGAGGGTCTGTTTGACTTATGCTTCCACATCACTGTTCATTACTTACGGAATTCAGGAACTCATAGACCAGGAACCTGGAGGCAGGAACTGATGGAGGGGTGATTTTACTGGCTTGCTCAGTCTGCTTTCTTATAACATCTAGGATCACCAGCCCAGGCATGGCCCCACCTACAATGGACTGGGCTATCTCCATCAACCACTAAGAAAATGCCCTACAGGCTTTCCTACAGCATGAAGTTGTGGAGGCATTTTCTCAGTAGAGGTTCTCTCCTCTCTATTGATTCTAGCTTGTGTCAAGTGGATGTAAACTAGCCAGCACATTGATTGATGTGACTGGTGCCATTCCTGGGCGATATTAATATGATAGGCTGTGTATGAAAGGTAACTGAACAAACTAGCAAGCAGTGTTCTTCTGTGGTCTTTGTTTCAGTGTCTGCCTTGGCTTCCATTAGTGATAGGCTATGATGTGGAAGTGTAAGATAAAGTAAACCCTTTCCTCCCCCAAGTGGCTTTGCTCAGTATTTTATTATAAGATTTGGTGGAAGAAAGTTATCACCCAGAGTGATGGCAGGGAAGCCATTTCTTTATCATTGGGTTTCCGATGGCACGCACAACTTATGAAATGCTGACTGATCAAGAATGGCCCTTGCAAAACCAAGAAAAAAATCCCATTTTTTTTTTTTGCTTCAGCCATTGTCTTTTATCCTGAAAGAATCCGTGTTTGCAGTGCTGAGGTGTTTATTTATAAGACTGTTTAGGTTCAGACTGTATCAGTTATGGAGGTTGGAGAAAGAGGAGTGTGCTGAGGCGTCTGTGTATTTGAATACGTGCTTCAGGGCTGAATGTGAATGCCCCCAGAGACTCATATGTTTGAATCATGGAACCCAGTTAGTGGAGCTATTTGTGAAGGATTAGGGATGGGTGGCCTTGCTGGAGGAGTTGTGTCATAGGGAAGGGCTTTAAAGTTTCAAAAGCCTCCAGCCATCCCCAGTACACTCTCTGCCTCCTGTCTGAGGTTTGGGATGTAAGCTCTCTTCTGTTCTGCTGACATGCCTTCAGTCTGCCATCATGGACTCCTACCCTCTGGAGCCACAAACCCAATTAAACACTTTCTTTTATAGGTTATCTTGATTGTGGTGTTTTAGTACAGCAATATAATAGTAACTAATACAAAGTCTGTGTTCATATATGGTTTTTATGACTTGTAATAACTTTCTTTGTCTAGGTTATGTTGCTATAATATAATGAATCCAAAAGCAAACCATTTTTTTTCATAATTTTGGGGGCACTGCATTTTATCTTGAGGTTATTTGTATGGGCTTTTTTTTTTTTTTAGTTCTTGATATTAAACATCCTTTGTAGGTTAATTCTCATTGCTGTGGAAGGAGAGGAAAAATGTTCCTAGAATTGGCTGCTATGCTAGCCTTAACCTGTATGTCTAATACGGAGTCACCCACACAAAATCGCATAATC